ACACACACACACACACACACACACACACACACACACACACTTATTAAGCTGTCATAAGTCATTCCAGCCCTCTGTCCTCTCCTATCACTGGAGCTCTGGATGGACTCAAGTCTTCAGTCCACACCAGATACGATCATTCAAATACTGTACATCTTACTAATCTTTTTTTTTATTATTATTATTTGTTTAAAAATGCAGATTGTACAATAACATAAATAATATTGAGTGTATCTCGTTGTGTGTTGACTTTTTTTTATACATATCTTCACATCGATGCATGGGTTCTTCGAGGATAGTTCTCCATCAGGGTGTATGTCTGAAACCTCTTATCCAAAACACATTAAATTTTTATTTTTATTTATTTATTTTTTTCATGATGAGATATTTTATTAAGCCTGTGTTCACACGAGCTTATGAAGAATTGACTGGATCTCAACAAGTGGGTGCACATGACTTAAAAGAAATTCTGTCTAAGAAAGGTCCAAAGTGAGCAATGCATATTAATGCTACTATACCTGATCTTAAGCATATGTACTGTAGGTCTGCATTTAAACCATGCTCTAAAAATATAAAGGAAACAAGCTACCTCTTTTAAGCCTGTATAAAAAGAGCAACTATCTAATGTGAATGTGTCTTGCTCTTTCTCTTTCATAAATCCAAATTCATGCTTATCACATGGTTGTGATGCTCGATCTAACTATACAGGGCGGGGCATGTGAGTATGAAGTCATGCAAGTTTACAGGAAGAGTGACAATGCTGTTTAAATGTTCTTTAATCACCTTAGCAGTTGCGGTAGAAGATATGTAGACATGTAATTCATTTAACAGGAAATTTCCCCCCTCAGGCCATATTTACACAGATACACAAATCTTGCATTGCAATTATATTTAATATACCTCGATAAGCATGAAGTAACATCTCATGTTACTCATGTTGTTTTGGCACCTTTATGGTAATTGAAATAATTAGAAACCTGAATAATAAAATGCGCTGTCAACCAAAAATGTTCAATTTAATTAATCAAGATTAAATAAATGGGGTTGTCCAAATGGACCATTTGTTCTAATTTTGACTAATCCTAAAGGGCCTTACTAAGCAAGACACTCAGTGTAGAAAGCTTCAGTCCCTGTTCAAATACAGTGTACTAGTGCCTCTTAAACATCACTAAATATTCTAAAAAGTTATTTTTTTGCAATTTCATGTGCAATAGGTCAAGCCTTTTTATCTTAATTTTGATCATAGCTTGTTGCTCATAAAAATTAGAAATCCAGTAAATGGGTAGTTTGAATAAATTATTATTTATACAGTATAAATACTGCAGACTAGTACATGAAACCACTATGATGAGTGACTATGCTGATTTGACAGATGTCTGGATGATGACCATTGACACCCTTAAGCCACCGAAGGTCACTGCTGAAAAGGCCGGCTGTTTGTAAAATAGTGTATTAAAGCATATTAAGGGAAAGTTGACTGGGGAAAAGACTGATAGGTAAAGACACACAAAACTGATGACTGCAGGCTCAAGAAGGAGCTTCACAAGAAATAAACTGAGGCTCTGTATGTCCCCCAAGAACCACCATGCACAGATGTCTTCAGGAAAGAAACTACATCTGTCGCATTTCTAATCTAAAACTACTCCAGAACCAGGGACAATGGCAGAAGCATCTCGCCTGGACTAAGGAGAAAAATGAACTGGACAGATGCTTCTGATTTATAAAATCAGGTCCTAAAGTCTGGAGGGAGAGTGCAGAGTTACAGGATCTGAGGTGCTTGAAGTCCAGTGTGAAGTTTCTGCAGCCTGTGATGATTTGGGGTACCATGCCATCTGCTGATGTTGGTTGTGTTTGGTTAACTGGAGCTATAGGCCAAAAATAATCAAAATGAATAAAACAAACAAACAAAAAGCAGAAAGCCACCACAGCTGCTGAGCTCCAGGATGGATTGACGTCATTTGCTGCAGATTCTGTCCACTGAGAATTTATTCCCAGAGAAATGATTCAAATTACATTAAATTTGTTTCTATAACATTTCCAAAATGTGGTCTGGCTGTCAGTTTGCATAAAGGCTGAGCTGACTCTACAACAACAGACTGTAGTCTGGTTACATGCTAAAAAAAATCAAGCCACAAACACCTTTAGAGATGTGTGACTGGAAATGATAACTTCCTCGAAAACACCATTGTTCTCTCACTTTGTTAAACTTACAAGTGTTTTTTGCTCTCAGCTTAGAATATTTTAGCACGTCTTAGAGTTAAATAAAGCCTGACTCTACTTCTAGTACAGAGTGTGCTTTCCGCATTAGTTCCAAGTGATAAACACACTTAAAAAAGGCAAAAAGGGACAAAAAAAAAAAGAAGCTTTGTATGATATTATATACATTTTTGGCCTTTTATACATCTACCACACAGTACTCAATTCTTTTAAGCATGTGGGTCATGTGTGTGACCTGGTGAAGTTCACACAAAACATCAGAATGTTTGTTGGTGTCAGAAGGGCTGATCAGAGTATTAAAAGAAACTGTTCAGAAACGACTGGGATTTTCAAACACAACCATCTCCACAAATTAAGTGGGATGTTCTTAAAATAAGAAAATATCCAGTGAGCTACAGTTTCTACAGTTCTCTGAAGAAAATACCTTGTTTAAGTGGCCAAACTGCTTTGAGCTGATAAGGAGGAAACAGTAACTCAAATAACCACTTGTTACAACCGGGCTGTGCAGAAGAAAATCCCCGAACTCGCACGTTAAAGACGAGTGTCACTCCTGTCAGTTAAGAACATAAAATGAAGCTCCAATTTGCACAGACTGCCTTAAACTGGACATAGATCCATCCTATCTTGTATCAACAGTTCAGGCTGCTGGTGTAATAGTGTCGGGAATATTTTCTTGTACCACTTTTGGCCCCTTAGTACCAAGCGAGCATCATTTAAACCCCACAGGCTGTGGCTGAACACGTTCGTCCCTTTATAACTGCAGTGTGACCATCTTCTGCTTCTAGCAGGATAACACATCATTTCAAAAAATCTCAGATGATGCCAAACTGGTGTCTTTAACCTAACATTCAGTTTACTGTTCTCAAATAGCCTCCACAGTCACCAGATGTCAGTCCAATAGAGCACCTTTGGGAGGTAGTGGAACAGGAGATTTGCGTCATAGATGCTCAGCTGACAAATGTGCAGCAGCCGTGTGACGCTCTCAAGTCAATATGGACCAAAATGTCTGATGATTGTTTCCAGGACCTTGATGAATCTGTGCCACGAAGGATTAAGGCAGTTATGCAGGCAAAAGGGGGGCCAACCCATAATGAGAAAGATGTACCTAATCAAGTGGTTGGTGAATATATAGTCAGTAATATTGGTTTTAAAAACTATCCGGCAATGCCAAAATACTAAGCTCTATATTTATTAATATTTGCAAGGACATGTATCATACAGTTTTGTGATTCCTGTGATGTTAAAAAAAACTGCCCTTTGAAAAGCATTTATTTTGAAAAGTCTGATAGAAATAAATGCTGCTGTTACAAGAGGAGTGCTTTTCTGTAGTCACAGATACTTCAGTCTGTTTTTAGGCTTACCAAAAACTGTAAAACTCCACACGCATGAGAACCTGTTGTGGTTTTAAAGATGGGATGAAAATAGCAAAAGTAGATCTAAAAAGATTTAAGTGTCGAGCAAAATTAAAACAGAAAGCAGAACTGACACACATGAGCTGTGAGAAAGGAGAAGGAGAAAAAACAAGCACCTGTTTGTCTGGGCAGATTATGCAAACTAAAAGCCTAATTTTGTTTGATGAGAACTTGTTGTGGAACACTGTTTGTGCTGTTTCACGGAGACACTGGGAAAACACAGGGAAACATCATCATCATTAGGCTATTATTAATGAAATCCTCTTCTGTAATGAGAAGTCAAATGAGTCAGTGTTGGTGGTGCTGTCAGGCATCCAAACAGGTCTGAGCCGGTTATAAAACAACCTACTTGACTGTTTTGCACTAACAGGAAGTGAAACATAAGTATGTCAGTACAAGTTTTGACAGAGCCAGCACACGTCATCACATAAGTCATCTCTTAGCCGCTGGCCACAGTTCCTCCTGTGTGTAATTCAAATGCTTATTAACTGCTTTTAAGGGTCCTGCCCATGTTTGTGGTTGATTTCAGGTTTCTGTAAAAACCAGCCTCAGGAAGCCTTTTTTATCTTTTCAATCACAGACTCTGTTGCCTTAATTATAGCCTTATTTTCTTGATTGATTTGTATGTTATTTTATCATTTTTAAACCCTTTTTATCCTGTATTTTCTTACAAAATGTAAAGCTAGTTACATCTTTTACTTTGCTTTATACATAGCAAATTAACACAGTGCTCTATTATGAATAGTATTATTCTTGCTGCTAATATTATCATCATTGTATCAATCCAGCTGAAATGTCGGCACTTCCCAAAAAGATACTGTTTACCAAATAAGACAGTCCATTCATCAGCACAGTATATTGATATATTTTGGTTGATTCAACTGAATAAATTTAATTTTATAAATATTCATCCTTGTTCAGCAAGGGAAGACTCCTACTGGCGTTGTTAATCCCAACATCTTTTTCCCGTTACTCCATCAGGAAGCTCTACTATTAGAGAGACTGTAATGATATTTCAAAAACATTATCTTTTAATAAATAATTTAAAAAACCATGACAATTATGTCATTTATTATTATAAAATTTGGTCTTGACATTAATGTAACTTTGAAATTAATGATGCTACTGATCTGTAGTGCCATCTTCAGCTCTACACTTTATTTCCTGGACCACATGCAGACCTCTGTGACATCAGTGGCCTGAACTAGTAAAGCCAGCATGATAGCTTTTATATGAAATTGCCCACCCCTCTAAATGCCCGCTTACGTCAAATGTGGGTGTTACATTTACAAGAAGAGCAGCCTGAGATGTCTGAAGAAAGATTTTAACCATGTG